CTGAATATTTGAATTAGATAATGTTGGACATTGCCAATACTCGCCTCATCCTGATTCTCTGATATAAAGTCCACTGAAGAAACTAATCTTTATTATGTGTACCATCTGAAACCTACATCTATGGCAAGGCTGTCAGTATGTTGTTGCCCCATCTCATTCAATACATTGTTTGGGAGCTTCAGTCATTGTTGTCTATCACTGGTAAACCTCCAGTGTTTCCTTATAACTTCCTCTTTTTCCCCCTACCTGGAAAATCCACTAAAGAAGGAAAGGTGAAATAGCTCCCCAGGGCTTTTGGATGGTAATGCTAGAACCCTATTGGCTGGAAGCACCCTGTGATCTTCTGTGCAGGGGGGGGGCAGCTCTATAGCTGTGGACTCAGTAGTTGCAAAGACATGCTTCCTTTCTTGATACGTGTGTACCAAAGAACTATTGTACAGTCTCTAGAACAGAAAAGAATAGAATCTATTCTGCTTTCTCAGTCTTTGGCATCATAAAAAACTGGGACAAATGTATTGTATTATCTCAGACAGCTAACTGGAGGCAACCTAAGAACACAAGAAGAGTTCAGGTGGAGAAGATTAAAGTCACAAAATGTCTCTATCTTTGGAAAGAGAAAAGCTTGGAAAAATTACTTCTTTGGACTATACTTTCTATAACTCCAAGGCCAGAATGGCTGGTGGGATCTTGAGACTTGCAATCCCAGAAAGTACTGTCTCCAAAATCTATACGACCAAAGAGCTCGTAAAGCTCAGGGATCTGCAGAGCTTGGCTGCAGAGCTAGGAGTTCAAATCCCTGTTTCTCCCGGGAGAGGGGAGGGCCAGGATCACCTAGAGCGGGTGGGGCTGATGTGGTTATGTGTCCTACCACTTGTGCAGCCTTGGGCAGGCTTCAAGGGCCCCAGGGTGTGACCAGAAGGAAGGTTTGGTAAACCATTTCTGAGTACTTAACATCTGGAAATCTTACAGAAATTTCCAGATGTTAAGTTAGAACTGACCTGATGACACGTGATTATATATGCCCCCAAGAAGGGTGCCCCCTACTCTGCCCCCTACACAGAGTAGGGGATATCAACCTTGTTTTCTTAAAACAGGAATATGCTGTTCAGGTCCAGTAATAAGGAGTATAGAATGTTGTTTTATACTCATTCAGAACACTGGTTTTCCCAGGGCTTTTAATTCTAACTGGTGGTGGCGGCAGCAGCAGCAACAGCAGCTCTCTGGAATTTCAGGTAGGATACCTTCCCTGCCCCAGATCTTTAGTATTTTCTTTGTCTCTCATGCAAATACTGAGATCAAATAAAGTCAGGCACATTCAGGGTGATATGTGGAAGCTAAGCCATGGCAACTGGACTTCTTTCTTATTAGGTTGCCAGTTGCCATGATTCAGCTTCCACATAGCCTCACCTGGATGACTGGGAATCTTCACAGATATTCAGGGCAATAGGTTGGTGATAGTATATTAAAACATTCTCTGTTGCACCAACAAGATTCTCTGCTTTTAGTGGCACTCTGCGCTTGACAGATGTGAGCTAAGCAAAGCAAGGAGTTGCAACACTCCCAGTCAGGTTTACTAAGTGGTTACAAATGATTTTGGTATTGTAACCCTAATCATTTTGGTGAAATACAAGAACCTGATGGTCTCAGTTCTGCCAAATCCCAAGCATTACTGTGCTACTTCAATAGAATCTGGATCACAGATTATGGTAGTTTACACCTCTATATGAACCAACACCTTTCTTTAGCTTCAGTGCCTTCTCATTAGATTTCCTCTACCTCCAATCTGATTCACAGACTTCCTCGCTCATCACGTCTGCCACCAAGAACAATTTTTCAGCTGTTTTTGGTGCTGGGCCTATCATCCCATTCTTTTTAGTTAAGTGAGGAAATATTTAGCAATATAGGTAAGGAGACATTGCTTGTCAGCAGCTCAAGGCTCACATATGTTACAGAAACTGTAACCTCAGAAACACTACTGTAGGACAATGATTTATCTTAGAGTGATCCCAAATTGAGCAACTCGATGTCTTTGTTGCAAGGTTAGGCCTGACTGGCCACAAAGGTCTTGCCAACTGTCAGCTTAGAAAGAGGCTGACCCACTCCGTGGACTGCTGGGGAAAGAAGCACCACTTCTTCAACTGGAGTGGCCACCCTCCAAGCAAGATACTCACCACACGGCCCCACCGATTCCAACAGCTATAACTCCCATTGTGTTCAATGAGTTGAATGATATAAAACTTGTTGTTGTTGTGGCCGATGTTAGTTTGGTTCAGCATGCAGTCGTAGTCTTCATAAATCTAAAATTGTAACAGATCAGACAATTATACAGAGGAAACATGAATCTCTGCCCTTATACAGGTATGTCGTGTTGGCCCAATAAACAGAAGGGTGTGTTTTGACCAGGAACCACACACGTGCATTCAATGGATGGCAGTGAGCAAACCACTGTATTTCAGACTCTGCCTGAGATGTGTAAAATGGGCATTCCACAGCAATGCAGCTCTTTGGGATATTGTGAGAACTAGGCATGATATAGAACATAAGTATATTTTTTTATCATGAATTGCCTTAAAAGAGGACCCCTTAGCTTTTTGTCAGCTAGGCAACTAATGGTATTCGGGACAGAGTATGCTAGGATAATTTCAAATTCAGGTTGTATTCTCCAGTACATCCACTCACTGAATACTACATTAACTAATAGGATTTATACTGAGGTCTGATTAGCAGAAAGCATCTTGGAAGAAGGAATACTGCCTGGCCCTGTGCCAGGAAATCTGTATTAGCTAATGAGGCTCTGGCAGGAGGTGGGGGGAATCATATTTGAGGCTTGTTCAGTTTCCTTCTTTTGGTACCAATCAACAGATCTACTAAGCAAAGGCAAACACTATCAAAAAAATCTTCACAAAGAGCAACAGAAACCTGGAAATTCTCTGGCTAGGTTCATGCATCCTGATACGCCAAGTGTGAACCATAATTTATTTTTGGCAAGAAGCATGCTAGGTCATATTACCTGACTGTTCCTAGTGCAAGTGAAAGTTGCTTAACAAACCATGATGTGTCTGTGACCCTCAAAGCTGGCATACTAGTTTGCATCTCCTCCCAAGAAATCTGAGGAACACACCCAATATAATCTGTGGATTATTCCTCTGCCTTTCTGAAAGACAATCAAGGCCACACTAATGGGCTCAGATATCATAATCAACAAACCACAGATCTAAAGTCTGAGGCTTATTTTCATGGATGCAATTGGGCAAATTGGGAAAAAGACTCTTTCCTCTACAGCAGCTGCCTTCCACATGATGAACTCCAAATGTTTTGTACTACAAATCCCATTGGCCACAGAGAACACAGCACTAGCCAGGGATTATGAGAATTGATGCTCCAGAAATCTGCAGGGTATACCATCCAGGATGAACACTACAACCAGAGACAGTTCACTCTCACCTTGGCATCATCCACATTGCTCAGCTGACAGGCAGAGTCAATTTTGCTCTTCAGCTTCTCCTTGGGAGCAGCTTTAAGTGCTGCCACAGTGGAGTGGAAACTATCTTCCTCCGGCTCTGGTTCTTCTTTAACCTTCTTCTCCTTGACGGGTGCCTGGGCCCGGGTAGAAGACTTGCGTTTGGGAGGCATGTTTCTTTCAGGAGCCTTAATCTGTTTTCCAGAGTCAGGAACTCTAAGGAAATTTAACTTCTTCAAGCAGCTAAAAATCCCACCTCCAAAAGACAAACAAGTGACAGACTTAACTCTCAGCAGAAGGAATAGCTTTCTAAAACCAGTCCAGTTCCCAAATGATGTACTTGGTGAATTGTTGCCCTATTTATTTAAAATATTTTTACCACACTTTTCTCCTCAGAAGACAATATTTAAAGCTAAGAACAGTAAATATACAAATACTAAAAAGGATAAAACCAATACCATATTAAAAGACGGTAAACAAAAGCAACACCAAAACCCATTCAAAACAGTAAGGCACAACCATCAGTTTAAAAAACCCACTCAAGCAACTAGTCACTAAGGGAACGCTTGCCTGAAGAGAAAAGTCTTCACCTTTTTCTGACAGCATTAAAGAGAAATATATTCAAAATGTCTGCTGGAAGAATACACAGGGAAGCAAAGGATTAAGAGCCATCTGCAAAGTGGGCTCCCAACCAAGCCAACATTTTGTTGGCTAGAAGATCTTTATGTGTCTAATGGCCAAAATCCTATTGTCTGCATAGCACAAATAACTTAACCTTTGGCAATGAACTGTTGTTATGAACAATGGCACTGTAGACACTATTTACTGCATGCTAAATTGTGCAAATTGCTACTCAACAGAGAATATCCACACTAATTTTGTAACTTGCAGCTAGGATTTTGGCGAATGTCTTTATGAATCACTGCTCCCTTCCCTAGTTGGAAGAGATCACCAAGAAAGCTGGAAAAACAATGCATCAACTCTAAACAAAAGAAACCCAGGAAGGGCAGGATTCTATTGGAACTCTGGAAACCACAGCTGCTAACAGACAAAGTCCCAGTTTCAAGGCAGTTGCTGGCCTGGTTATGCACTCTGTCATGTGTCCAGTGTGCACTCTGCCCCTCAGCCATAACTGTGGCAACTTTCATGATTCCTCTTGTGCATATGTAAAAATAGAATTCTGCCCATTCTGAATTAAGAAAATACCTGCATTGCAAGGAGAAGAATTATCCAAAATAAAAAAGCAGCACTAACATGTAAAAATTTGGAAGAACAGTGTAGTCCAACCTTTCACCTTCCCTGGGCCACATTAGAAGATGAAAATTTGGTTTGGGCCGCACATACATTTGGTTTGGGCCGCATGGGGGGGCAGCCCTAGCCGTTCTCCACAGCCCCGCTCCAAGCACGCTTACCGACAGCCGCGATCTCAGATAGGAGGGGCTGCCAGCTTCGACTCCGGCGGCTTTATGGGGCCGGGAGGGGGTCCACCTATTGACGGGGACGGTGCAATGCAGTCAAGCAGCCCCCCTCTCCCCTCCCCTCCCGCTCCTTCCTTCCCTCTCTTCCCCTCTACTGTTGTGACATGCCCCGGCCACATTCCGGCCGCAAGCGCCAGTAGTGTAACTTGAAACTTTGGAATTTCTTTAAAAATAAAAAAATTGCACTGGGCCGCATTACGAGCTGACCTGGGCCACATGCGGCCCTTGGGCTGCAGGTTGGACAAGCCTGGTGTAGTATCTTACTAGCCAATCAAAAGCAGATCCTGCCTAAGGAGGGAGGCTGACACATCGGAATGCTACTCCGCAGAAGGCCCTCTACTTTTTGGGAACGGTCTAGTCCAGATAGGTTCATACAGGACAAAGGAGTCCCTCAATACACTGCCCCCAAGACATTTAGGCTTTATAAAAAAGAACCAGCACCCTGAATTGGCCCCCAAAAGAATTAGGAAGACAATAAAGCTCTTTCAAGGCTTGGGTTATATGAATGGTGGGCTTATTTTTGGTTTTTTAACCGGATCTGAGTGTGTGTGGCATAGTAGTAGCTAAGCCTTATTGCTCCAAACACGGAAGCAGTTGTTTGGTCAAATCTGTGGTAAATAACTGAAGTAATGTTTCTGAAGGGAAACCAGTCCTTATCACACAAACTCACCAGAAGACAGCCTGCCTTAGGGACAATATGTGATAACTATAGCCTTACTGATTAAAACAGCTTCTGTCCTAACTGTTCTTCCTCCTCCTACAAGGCAGTTCAGCTTCAACCACACCACAGCTGTGTTTATATGAAATTTCAATACAATCTGACAGCTCCCGCTGGGAATCGCTTTTGCTATGTGTTTATTCAAACATGCTTTCTTTAATGTAATCCCAGGCTAGAGAAAACTGAAGCTCCTAAACCACACCCTAGACAATCATTCTGTAACCACTGCAGTATTCAGAGCCAAATGCCTACTTCATAGCTGACTCACAGTTATAGCTTCAAACCACCGATTGTTCCCAGACATCTTCCTTTGCAGTCATTCTGCTCCCCTTTTTATTACCTGGAAAGCATCCCTCCTGATTTTTCTACTGCAGATGGCTTTCGGAGTTTTTCCACATTTTATCTCTTTCAACTTGGATAAGTTGACCAAATGACCCTCAGGAAATCTTGAACCTTTGGCAGAAGCTTTCAAGACACCTGTTTATGTTGCTCTCTCTGCCAACAACCAGAACATAAGCCTAGAAGGTGAGCCATGCTGGATCAGACCAGCAGCCCATCTGGTCGATCATTGTGTTTAGAGTAGCCCACCAGATGCCAAAAGGAAGCCCTCAAGGAGCAAATTAAAAAAAACCCTTCTACTTTTCTGCTCTTGGTCCCTTACAGTTGGCACTAAGAGGCAGTTTACTGCCTCTAATATAGGATGGTATTATGTAGCCATCATGACTAGTACTCATTGCTAGCCTCTCTCCTTAGAATTTGTGTAGTTAATAATTATATGCTATTAAGCTGTGGGCTAAACCGCAGAAGCCTGTGCTGCAGGGTCAGAAGACCAAGCAGTCGTAAGATCGAATCCACGCGACGGAGTGAGCGCCCGTCGCTTGTCCCAGCTCCCGCCAACCTAGCGGTTCGAAAGCATGTAAAAATGTGAGTAGATAAATAGGGACCACCTCGGCGGGAAGGTAACAGCGTTCCGTGTCTAAGTCGCACTGGCCATATGACCATGGAAGATTGCCTTCGGACAAAACACTGGCTCTATGGCTTGGAAACGGGGATGAGCACCGTCCCCTAGAGTCGGACACGACTAACTAAATGTCAAGGGGAACCTTTACCTTTACCTAAGTCAGTTTTGACTTATGGCAGCCCTTTATAGGGTTTTCTATACAGTGGTACCTCGACTTACGAACTTAATTTGTTTTGGAATGGCGTTTGTACATCAAAAATTTGTAAGTCAAAGTACCATTTTTCCATTGAAATGCATGGGAACGGAATTAATCCATTCCAGCATTTCAAAAAATTACCTTCGGAGGTCTCAAAGGGCTTTCCCCCTGACATCGGAGCAAGCCCTTTGAGAGCTCCGAAGGCAAAAAGGCAGGAAGAAAGGATGGGAAATTCGAATTTCCCACCATTTCTCCCTGCCTTTTTGTCTCCGGAGCTCTCAAAGGGCTTCCTCCGAAAGCCCTTTGAGAGCTCCGAAGGCAAAAAGGCAGGAAGAAAGGATGGGAAATTCGAATTTCCCACCATTTCTCCCTGCCTTTTTGCCTTCGGAGCTCTCAAAGGGCTTCCTCCGAAAGCCCTTTGAGAGCTCTGAAGGCAAAAGGGCAGAGAGAAAGGGTGGGAAATTCAAAGTTCCAGCCCTTTCTCCCTGCCTTTTTGCCTTCAGAGCTCTCAAAGGGCTTCCTCCGATGTCAGGGGGAAAGCCCTTCAAAACCTCCGAATGGCTCCGTTCACAAAAAATGGCATTGACTTGCGAATGGAGCCTCAACCTCGTTCGTAGGTCAAGCCTCCGTTCACAAGTCGATGCCAATTTTTGCCAAGGGAGCCATTTGTAAATCAAAATGTTCATATGTAGGGACGTTCGTAAGTCGAGGGTTGACTGTATATGAAGTATTCAGAAGTGTTTACCACTCCCTTCTTCCGGGTGCATCCAGGAATAACAGAGTCTGCCCAAAATCATACCAGCTGGATCTCCTCCTACAAGCCATAGTGAGGAATCAAACTCCTGACCCCTGGCTCCTCAGTCAGATGCTCCATCTCACTGAACTATCTAAATATCAGGAATCTGTCAAAGCTCCTTTTACTGTCAGCTAAACTACAACCTGTTGGTTCAAAACTGAAATGGCTTTAACTTCTGACTCACCAGTAGAGATGGGGGTATTTGACAGGAACTTTAGGACAGAGCAATGCCTTTTCCTTAGCCCTGGCAGAGTTCTATCCAAATCAGGAAACAGTACGCATGTAAGTAGTGGAATGAGAGCCCCGTCAGGGTAAGGAAAAACTGTACTGTTTTATAAGTAGCAGTTGAATCATACATATAGAGTTGTCTTAGTCCAGTCCAATAGTCATACACGGTAAGCATTTAAGGTCAAATCCAGTCCAGTTATTACAGCACCTATTCAGAGTCTGTAACTATATTCAGTATAATAGCTCCTTCTATCTCTCCTTGTTCAACCCAACAAACCTGGTGGTCTGAGGCTATCAAGTTTATTGCCCCTACTGGTCAATCAGGGACTAGCTTCCCCAAGGTTCTTCTATAGCAGTGATCGGATAACAGGGGTAAATTACCCCAAATGGGATAACAGTGAAAATCCTGGGGGTAATGAGCAGAGCGTCATTGCTAGCACCACTCTAGCAACAATTGGTGAAGATTAAATCCTCTGTGAGCTAGCAAAAATTTAATGCAACTTGCTAGGCATATTGGACATCTTAGTACTCCCTATACCACCCCATGGCTGGAGTGCAATGTGTTCTAGCAAAAATAGTGCACATATTAAATTTGGTGTGTCCTGGTAGTTCGGTACATAGCCTGGCAGCCATTGGTACTGATGATATATCATGCTAGTTCAGTACACAGCCTGTGTAGATTCAATAAGATTTTGAATTCAAATAATTCATGATTTCCTTCCTTTCAAATCAAGGGGGTAATATTGGCGTATATAAAAAAAAATTGGGGGGGGGAGGTTAAAAAGTTCAGACCCTGTTCTACAGCATTTTGTTTCACCAGCTGTGCTACATCAGACTGCTGAGCTTGTGACTTACTCAGCTGAAGAAGATGACTGGACTTTTACAAACTTTGACTCATCAATTTACCACAGAGCCAATCTAGGCCTGTCAGTATACGCATATGAATACTTCCCCTGCACAGGTGGCATTAATGAGGGTCCAGCGCCATGGGGCCAGACGGTCCACTCACCGATCCACCACAGACGCAGACCGTGCAATTCTACCAATAGATCCGCCGTGCGTGATCCACTCGCTACTCTTGGCAGGAGGTGCGATGACAAGCCTCGCTGCAAGGTTGAAGAGTGGCGAGCGGATTGCGCACCATGGATCTTTTGGGAGAATTGCACTGCCTGCGTCAGATCAATGAGTGGGTGTTAACCCTTGTTAAGAACACCTGTGTGGAGGTATTCATATACAAATACCCCCCTTTCTACTCACCACCCTACTTTTAGAGGCTGGTAAAAAAAAACTTTTAATCAAGCAGCTTGTACTAACTACATGTAAGTTATGAATGCTGTATTTAATGATGCATATGTGTCACTGTTTCAAACCAGAACAAGTAATGGAACACTTGTCTAAAATATATTTGTTTTACACATGCAGTAAGTGGCATAGAGGAAATGGTTTTTTAAATGGCTCCTTGAGAACAGCAAAGAAAACTGCCCTGCCTGAACACAACAGGCAAGTAGCCAAGGAGGGAGCTGATGGCAACCTGATGAAGAAGGTAACAGAACAGATGACAACCAGAGAGCTTGTAAGTGGCTTTAAAAGGACAGAAAGGTACATGTAGAGTCCAACCATAAGCAGGAAACAAAGAGTTGTCAAATCAGATATATCAGGTTTTGAAGTGAACCAATAGGCAGGATCTACATCTGCTTTCACAGTATAGCCATTTTATCCTGAGCTTGGTGTATCAATAAAAGGTCTGCTCATTGCAAAGATGACTCATGCCCCTGACAACAGGAGAATGTATAATCAGCATAAAAATAACACAAGGTGGACATGTCAATGACCTTTGGATACAGTGTCTAATTATCACACAGTTAGCTATTTAAACTTTACAAAGCACCTGACTTGGCCTACCTGGCCAGTATACCTGTGTGTTTTGTGGAACGTTTGCTAAAGCATAAACAAGTATGTTTTCTCCACTTTTATTGCAGAACTGACATCATATTGCATTTCAGGAGCCAGGAAACCAGTCTCCCCAAACCCAGCAAATGTCTTAGTGGACATAAAAAAAGAACCTGACTCAGTGTTTTACTTTCTAAACCAAATTAAAGGAAAGCAACTTCCTTTCTCTCTCACATACTCCACCAAGGGAAGAGGGAAAAAGTGATTTCAAAGTTGTTGCTTAGTACCATAAAAATTTAAAGGCAAAGTATCCCACCACCACCCCCACTACCAGACTGGTCTCTCCCATCACCAACATTTCCCTCCTGCATAAATCAATGCACTAAAACTGAAATGATTGTGGACTCATAACCTATTCTAGAAAGTACTTGCGTGATCACGTTTTATATTGTATGTTTTTTTTTTAAAAAATGTAGTTATTGTCCTTTTAACTTTAGATCACGTTTTATATAGTTGTATGTTTTTTTTTTAAAAATGTAGTTATTGTCCTTTTAACTTTAATTGTAAACTTGTAAAGATTGCCGATTGAGCAGGTACTCAAACAATTGCAGCAACAACAAAAAAGTAGTTAAAGAAAATCCTCCCCAACAAGTACCTAACCTGATGGGGAATTAGAGATCATCAGAACATAGTAAAACACACTGTTGGGCTACCAAGGCCTCCAACATCTCTCTTCGTTTAGAGATCTGCCTCAGGGCCAGGTGTGGGTGGCGTCTTAGGATTGCTTATCCGCCGTAGCAAATAAACCAGAAAATAAATCGGAGTAAAGAGCAAGCCCCGCCGCCTCGTTTCCAGCCCATCATCCGCCCTTGTCTGCCTGAAGGGGCCTTCCTTACTCACCGGGCCAGGGAGGGCGATTTCCCCGCAAGCAGCCCCGAGCGATCCCACCGGAGGGCCCGGCAGAAACCGAGCCGGGCAAGTTTGGGCACGCCGGGATCCGCTGGCCGGGCTTTCGGCGCTGCAGCGCCCCTTCCGTTGTGGTCCGGCTCCGACCTCCGCCTCTCG